CGGCGCGGCGCGGCGCGGCGCGTTAACGCAGGGCGATCAGAAGCAGGTGTCCGGAAGGGCGGCGTAGGGGCGCGGTCCCGGGCGGAGGGCGGAGGGCCGCGGAGCGCGGGGGACGCGCGGCCTGATCTCGGCGTCGCCGCCGGCAGCCAGGGCTCTGCGCAGCCATGGACAGCGGAGGGCGGCCCTCGCTGGGCCAGTTCATCCTCCTGGGCACCAGCTCTGTCGTCACCGCCGTCCTGTATTCCGTGTACCGGCAGAAGGCCCAGGTCGCCCAAGAACTCAAGGTCAGTGCTGGAGCCAGCCTGGCCTCCGCCGGCTCACCCCTGCCCCCGGTGATGGTGAGCCCGCGGTTCGCCTCGGGCTGCTCCAGCGTCGGAAACGGCCCCAAAGAGGAAACCGGCCCTTGAGGGGTGTCGCCGCCGAGTCACGGGAGGAACTAGGATCAGAATTCGGGTCTCGTGATAACCGCTGCACTTCCCCTTTTCTCAGCCGCTCTCATTGTTCAGAATCTCGACCTGATTTCTTTATTCGACAAATACTAAGGGCCGCCTGCTCTGCTCCAGGCACTGGGGCTGTCGCCTGGGTAGAAGAGACAAAAGTCCCTGCCCTCATGGAGATTCCGTTCTGGTACAGCCATAAACAAGTACCTCAGATGGTGTGACAGATGGGGAGAAAAATACTACAGAATCGTGCGGGGAAGAGAGGAAATGCAGTGGTGTGCTATTTTAAATAAGGTGACATTTAACAGAGTCCAGGAGGAGGTGAGGGAGACCACGCAGGTGTCTAGGGGAAGAACAGTTCAGATGGAGGGAACAGCCAGTGCAGGAATCCTAGACTTTGCCCGTTTATGTAACCACTCACTTCTTGCTTCTACAGACTCTTCCTTTTTAATATTTTAGTTTATTTTAAAAATAACGCTTGGGGCGCCTGGGTGGCTCAGTCGTTAAGCGTCTGCCTTGGGCTCAGGTCATGATCCCAGGGTCCTGGGATCGGGCCCCGCATCGGGCTCCCTGCTCTGCGGGAGGCCTGCTTCTCCCTCCCCCGCTCCCCCTGCTTGTGTTCCCTCTCTCGCTGTGTCTCTCTCTGTCAAATAAATAAATAAAATCTTTAAAAAAAATTATTGTGAAGAAAAAAATAACAAGATGAGAGAATGTGCTAAGCTGTAAAGGGCAGCCTAAGAAAGAAAGCGTTCTTTTTTTTTTTTTTGAGATTTTATTTATTCGACAGAGACACAGCGAGAGAGGGAACACAAGCAGGGGGAGTGGGAGAGGGAGAAGCAGGCTTCCCGCTGAGCAGGGAGCCCGATGTGGGGCTTGATCCCAGGACCCTGGGATCATGGCCTGAGCCGAAGGCAGACGCTTAACGACTGAGCCACCCAGGCACCCCCTTCTCTCATGATTTTTTAAAAAAAGTATTTTCTTTTCTCTGGCTTGCTTTATTATTGGAACACAGCATATAATACATATAACCTACAAAGTATGTGTCGATTGACTCCTTATGTTATCAGTAAGGCTTCTGGTCAACAGTAGGCTATGAGTAGTGAAGTTTTGGGGGAGTCAGAGTTATATGCAGATTTTTGACTGCGTGGCCATCTGAGCAGATGCTAAGAGGGCACTTGGGGGCTTTGGAGTCACTTGGAGGGGGGGCCCGAGTTTGGAGGAGTTTGGGGGAGCCCGAGTTGGGGGGTCGGGGGGCGGGGGGGGGGCGCGCCCCTCACCTCTGCATTGTTCAAGAGCCAGTTGTAGTCTAAGTGATTATTCATTCACTTACTCATCAAATACGTATTGAGTGCCTGCTATGGGTCAGGTACTGTTCTTGGCACCAGGGAGACAGCAGTGAACAAGACAAGCCAGGTCCGAGCTGTCCTCGAGTTTAATAGTCCAGGGGAGGGGCACAGAACGAAGGAGTCAACAGACTCTGTTAGTTGCTGGGCTGTTGTTGGTACTGTCCTCACAGTGTAGGTGGTTCATAAGTTTGGGTTGACCTGGCTCCTGTCATTTACTGTGCAGCACTAGCTTCAACTTCGAGTGACCTCAGTGACCTAGAGTACCCATCCCTCTTCACCCCTCGAGGGCTTACGTACCTGGCATCCTTCAGATTTGTTGATGGCAATTCCCTGCAAGTGGGAAGTGTCCTTGATTCATCCCTGAATCCCCAGTGCGCAGCCCAGTGCCTGGCACATGGATGCTCAGGAACTGGTCATTGGTTTTATTAATCTTCTCTTTATTTTTGATGCAGCAGTGCCAGGCTGGCTTGGTCCCCATGCAGGGGGGGAAACTGAATCGGAGGGGGTGGCAGAAGGAGGGGGGTGGCAGCAGCAGTCACCATGGTCTCCTGCTCGTCAGAGGGTGGAAGGACGAACTGGAAAGTAGGAGAATAGTGCCAGCGAACAGAGCCTTGCCCCCCACGGCGAAGGCAGCCCTGTACTGTCCCGTGTAATGCAGAGCGTGGATTGCCCCAGGCATGCTGAGAGCAACGCCTACCCTTGCCCGAGCCCCTGCCATGTCCTAGGCACCGGCTTAGGTACTTTCCACAGAAGCCCTCTAATGCGTGGTTCTGTGTCATCAAGAAGAGATTAAATTATGTTCAGTCTGTGGCATGAAAACGGATAAGGACCTTTCATATTTTCACTAAAAAAAGTTAAAATGAAGAGGAGGGTATGTTTCTGTTAACTGGGGAAAGAATGTCGCTGGCACCCCCATCCGTAGGGTGGCAGATGCCTGGTTATGTGGTGAAACTTCTGGGGCACAGCTTGGGAATGTGATTCTCCATAACCTCCTTCCTGCCTGATTTCCTCATTCTCTTTTCATTACATAAAAAAAGTAAATAGTCCTTTTCTCGTTGGGCCTGTAAGTGTGGTAGAACATGCAGTATTCAGCAGCCAGTTGAATGTGTTGTTTCCATTTAGGGAGCTAAAAGAATCCACTTGGGTGAAGACTTAAAGAACATTCTCTCAGAAGCCCCAGGAAAATGTGTGCCTTATGCTGTTATTGAAGGTATGTTTATTTATTGGCAAAATTAAAAATTTCCTCTTCTCGAAGTTTAATAAAAATCTTCTTGGCTGATTTTAAGGGCCTTTTGTATGGGGCAGTGTTCCAGAACTTGGACCTCGGGGTCAGAAAGACCTGGGTTATTGCTGTGTGATCTTGGCGCAATTACCCAACCTTTCTGAACCTCCCTTACCCCATCTGAACAAGAATTCCAACCTTTCAAGGTGGTTGGAAAGCTGAAATGATGGATCCATGTAAAGTGCTTAACAGAGTGCTGACGAAACAACTTTTTTTTTTCCCCCAAAGATTTTATTCATCCACTTGACAGAGAGAGACACAGTGAGAGAGGGAACACAAGCAGGGGGAGTGGGAGAGGGAGAAGCAGGCTTCCCGCGGAGCAGGGAGCCCGATGCGGGGCTCGATCCCGAGACCCCAGGATCATGACCTGAGCCGAAGGCAGACGCTTAACGGCTGAGCCACCCAGGCGCCCCTGACAAAACAACTTACCATGGTGTCATTTGCATCATTTTGATGAATTCAACTCAACCTAAAAACAGTATTTAAATCACCTTGAAAGGAAAGGGCAGAAGAGTTCTTCAGAACTAAAATAATTTGTTTCCGTTTAGGGGCTGTTCGATCTGTTAAAGAAACGCTTAACAGCCAGTTTGTGGAGAATTGCAAGGGCGTGATTCAGCGGCTGACACTGCAGGAGCACAGGATGGTGTGGAATCGGACAACCCACCTTTGGTACCTGTCCTTTCTCCTCTAGCCAAGCCTCCCGGTTGGTAGCTCGCACCCTGGCACCCTGGGTACTGTGTCCGTGTCCTCTGGTTCACCTGAGACAAGGCCCAGACCAGTTTCTTCATGCTGACGGTACTCTTGTGGGAGAACGGTTTTTCCAGCCAATCCTAGTGGGTTTTTGTTTTGTATTTTGTATTTTTTATTGTAAGAATGCTTCACATGAGATCACCCCCCCCTTTTTTTAAAGATTTTATTTATTTATTTGAGAGGGACTGAGCATGAGCGGGGGTGGAGGGGAGAGGGTGGTGAGGAAGGGCAGAGGGAGAGGGAGAAGCAGTCTTCCCGCTGAGCAGGGAGCCCGACGCTGGACTCGATCCCAGGACCGCAGGATCATGACCTGGGCCGAAGGCAGACGCTTAACCGACTGAGCCACCCAGGCGCCCCATGAGATCTGCCCTTTTAACAGTACTAGAGCATATGGTACTGTTAGCTACAGGCACTAAGTCGTACAGCACATCTCTAGAATGTATTCATCTTGTATAACTGACACTTGATACCCACTGAACAGCAGCTCCCGTTTTCTTCTCTCCCAGGCCATGGCAACCACCATTCTGCTCTCTGTCTCCATGAGCATGACTTCTATTTTGTTTTATTTTTTTTTGAGAGAGAAAGAGAGAACACGTGTGCATGCGCATGTGAGCAGGGGGAGGGGCAGAGGAGAAGGGGGAGAAAGAATCTTAAGCAGGCTCCACGCTCAGCACGGAGCACGACTTGGGGCTCGATCTCACGACCCTGAGATCATGACCTGAGCCAAAATCCAGAGTCCAACGCTCAACTGACTGAGCCACCCAGGCGCCCCTGATTGTGACTGTTTTAGGTCCCTCATGTAAGTATTTGTTTTTCTGTGCAGTGGCTTGGTTCTCTTAGCATAATGTACCCCAGGCTCATCCCTGTTGTCACTGTCACATATGGCAGAGTTTCCCTCCTTTTTGTGGCTGAATATTGTCTTGTGTGTATCGCATTTTCTTTCTCCACTCCTCTGCTGATGGGCATCTAGGTTGTTTCCATGTCTTGGTTCTTGTGAACAGGGCTGCGGTGAACACAGGAGTGCAGATATCTCTTTGAGACCCTGATCTCACTTTGGGACGTACACCCCGAGAAGTGGGATTGCCAGGTCATACGGTAGTTCCGTTTTTCATTTCTTAAGGAACTGGATATTTATTTGAGAGTGGCAAAGAGAGGTAAACGGTGGAGCTGATCTAGGACAGTGCTTATTGCCCACTGATACGGCCCGAGAACCTCAAAAACGGAGCCTCCCTATCATGAAGCACTAGGATAACAGTGATTTGTGCATATTCTTCCAGCTAGTTCGGACTTTATCCTGGCCTGGCATTTAGGCCATCCTCTCTCTGCCTGGGCGTGAGGTGTTTGCTGTCCTGTATTTTATTTTGGGTTCTCTTGTTTTAGGAACGACTACTCAAAGATCATTCACCAGAGGACCAACACAGTGCCCTTCGACCTGGTCCCCCACGAGGACGGCGTGGCCGTGGCCGTGCGAGTGCTGAAGCCGCTGGATGCCCAGGATCTGGGCCTGGAGACCGTGTACGAGAAGTTCCACCCCTCCATCCAGTCCTTCACCGATGTCATCGGCCACTACATCAGCGGCGAGCGGCCCAAAGGCATCCAGGAGACGGAGGAGATGCTGAAGGTGGGTGCCACGCTCACGGGCGTCGGCGAGCTGGTTCTGGACAGCAGCTCCGTGCGCCTGCAGCCCCCCAAGCAGGGCATGCAGTACTACCTCAGCAGCCAGGACTTCGACAGCCTGCTGCAGAGGCAGGAGTCCAGCGTCCGACTCTGGAAGGTCCTGACGCTGGTCTTCGGCTTCACCACCTGCGCCGTTCTCTTCTTCATCCTCCGCAAGCACTACCTGCAGCGCCAGGAAAGGCAGCGCCTCATGCAGATGGAGAAGGAGTTCCAGGAGCGTGAGGCCCAGCTGCTGAGCCGCGCCAAGCCCGAGGACAGGGAGAGTCTGAAGAGCGCCTGTGTCGTGTGTCTGAGCAGCTTCAAGTCCTGCGTCTTCCTGGAGTGTGGGCACGTGTGTTCCTGCGCCGAGTGCTACCGCGCCTTGCCCGAGCCCAAGCGGTGCCCCGTCTGCAGACAGGAGATCGTCCGGGTGGTTCCCTTGTACAATAGCTAACCGGTGCAGGGTGGCTCCGGGGGGGGCGGTGGGGGGGGCCCCCACCCCCTTTCTCAGGAGTTTTTGTCTTGAGGCCTAGCTGTCATCCCAGCTGCGACTGAGGGAGCAGACTGGGGGAGCCATCCCAGCCTCACAGCCCCAACACTAGGATGTTGCCTTGCCACGGAGAGAGGGGACCCTTTTGCCACCGGCTGAGACTCACGGCCCCCCCCTGGAGTGGGGGTGGTGGCCTTGCCTGCCTTCCTGGAACCGGCGGAGCGTGTGCGTGTGTGTGTGTGTGTGTGTGTGTGTCTGCGTGTCTGCACCTCATTGCTCGAGGTCACTCCCGGCGGAGTGCACGTGTGTGTGTGTGTGTGTGCGCGCGTGTGTGTGTGTGCGTGTCTACACCTCATCGCTCGAGGTCACTCCTGGCGGAGTGCACGTGTGTGTGTGTGTGTGTGTGTTTGTTTGTTTGTTTGTGCGCGCGCCTGTGTGTCTGCACCTCATCGCTTGAGGTCACTCCTGGCGGAGTGTGCGTGTATGTGTGTGTGTGTGTGTGTGTGTGTGCACCTCATCGCTTGAGGTCACTCCCAGCGTGTGTGTGTGTGTGTGTGTGTGTGTGTGTGAGATGGCACCTCATCGCTTGAGGTCACTCCCAGCGTGTGTGTGTGTGTGTGTGTGTGTGTGTGTGTGTGTGTGTGAGATGGCACCTCATCGCTTGAGGTCACTCCCAAGCCAGTGATCTCCAGCTCTTCTGGTCCTTTCTGGGGAATTGCTGGTGCCTGTGGTCTTGCACCTTGAGTGACTCAGCCAGCAGGGAGGCGAAGTCAGGCTCTGGGTGTGGTGTATTGCCCCACAGAGCTGTCTGAAGAGTCGCCTCTGACGAGACTGTCACAGTCTTTCTTCCTTTTGCTTACACCCCAGGAAAAAGGCCAGACTGGACATGAGAACTGTGTCCCTTTCCCCTCACCTCCTTACCTCTTAATGTGTACACGTGTGTCAGGACAAAAGGGAGCGACGCCCGCCATCTGCTTTCTGCCTAAAAGCTGGGAACCCTGGTCAGCAGGCTGAGGGGCTGCCATGTGAGACCGTCAGGCTGTCCTGTCGTCCCCAGTGGTGAAGGTGGCAGCTTGGCTGCAGCCCTCCTGGTGTCTCCGGGACCGGAGTGCACCGCCAGCCCTGGCTGGGAGTGCGCGAGGCCCGAGGCCCGAGGCCCGAGGGCTGGCTCTGGCATTCTCTGCCTGGGGTCAGCCCGAAAGGCCTCACCGCCTGAACAAAGCAATAAGGCTGCTGCTGCCCCGGCCTCGTGGCCCTGTCAGCCTCCCTCCTGGGCTGTCACCGAGGCAAAGTCGCCAGCCAGCACCCTGAGCAGAGCCTCTTCCAGGGTCCCGCCTCCTCCCATTGAGAAGTTAGCATCCCGTGGGTGGAGTCACATTGCCCCTTCCTGGGTTGCTGTTCACTCCCTCACGTGCCCCCTCCTTGAATTTGTGGAAAGAAGTGGGGGCACCCCTCTCACCTCCTCTGACTAGTCAGAGGTCTCGTACACAGCTCTTCTCTCCCTTCCATGACTTTGAATATTCATCCACTATCCCCTTTGTGTGGGGGAGGTGGGGGCTCTCAGGGGGCTGACACCCGTTCTATGCAGGGTCCTGTGTGGACAGCACAAATTAAACACGTTACAACCAAGTGTTAGCCTGTTGCTTTGTCAACGAAAGTTTGGTGGTTTGGCTGAGGCTTGCGTGAGATGGGACTGACTCTCACCGTGGTGGAATGATCTAGAGACCTTGAAGCCTCTCTGTGTGCCCACCTCCTGGGCAAAGAGATGCTGTGGGGCTCCCACAGGGGGTGTTCGGCAGTTTGGTGAGGCGGAGGCCTGGGGGCGGGTGTCCTGGAGAGCAGCCCCTAGGTGGCCCTGGCCTCACTGAGAAGTCCTGAGCAGACAGGCAGTGACACGATGGGGCCGGGGTGGGATGCTGGGGAACAGCAGGGAGGAGATGAACATTTAGAGTATTGTACTATACGCTTCCCCGAGCTTTCATTTCAAGGTGAGCTGATCCTCACAAAACCTGCAGGCTCTCCTGGTCTCTACATCTCAGAGAAGGAAATAACCCACGAGGGGAAGTTCGCTGGCCTGGCGGCCTCTGGCTACTAAGTGGTGGGTCTGAATTAAAACTCCAGGCTGTTCCAAAGCTCCTGACCCTCCTGCTCACGGGCAGTGGCTAATTTCCTCAGTGTGTACAGGACTACCCCACAGGATCCTCGCTCCCGAGTTCATGGAGGGGGCCCGCTGTGGAACAGGCGGACGTGAGAAGCCACGTGCCAGTACTGAGTCCGGTCTGGTGAGGCGGAAAGGGCTTGGGGGCTGGGCAGGGGGAGGGGGCGCCCGATCACCTTGAAAGCTCCTGCCCCTTTTTCCTTGTCCGTCAGCCCTGACTTTGTCAGAAGGTCCGGCTTTCATTTATTTTTATTTTTATTTTTTTTTAAGATTTTTATTTCTTAGCATGAATGGGTGGGGGGAGGCAGAGGGAGAGGGACAAGCAGACTCCATGCCAAGCAACGAGCCCGATGCGGGGCTCCATCCCGGGACCCCGAGAAGATCACGACCTGAGCCGAAGTCAGACGCTTAACTGACCGAGCCACCCAGGCGCTCCGGTCCAGCTTCCAGCAGAGCATGAATGAAACGCCTATGGCCGGTGTATGTGACCATCTACCGAGAGAGTTCAGCCCTCGGCACAGATTTCGTGAGTAAGTCCGAAAAGGGAAGGCTACCCGCTCTACCCCAGCCCCACTCCGATCTGGGCGGACCAAATCTGCCTCAGCTGTTCTCCAAGCTGAGCCTGGGAGACACACCGCAGCACACAGTCCCCGCCTTAGGAAGTGACAGCTCATCGGGAACAGGAACACTCATGTACCCAGGTTCTGGATTTGAGGTCCCTGCTCAGTCCTAGCCCAGGTGGGGCTGACACTGTCTCAGCTTCCTGCCCCTGTGGCAGTTCCCACCTTCCATTTTGGGAGCCCCATCTCCAGGAGGGCTGAACGGGACCTACCTGGGCAGACAGGGCCCAGGCCAGGGAGTGGGGAGTGACAGGGAGGGGAGGACCATAGGACGTTAGTGCTGAACCGACCTTGGGATAGTTGTGAGTTTTCAGTTTTTTGCTAACTCAACCCCTATGCTCAGTCACTTTAATCCTAGACAGACACCTTCAGGAGGAGTCCTCTTGAATGTCTGCTCCTGGTGTCTTGAATGTCTGCTAGGCACTTTATGTGCATTAATGCAGGGGGCACAGGGGGTCCTACAGAGTGGACATTGTTATCCCCAGCTTACAAGTGAGGCTCAGAAGGGCTCTGTGTTCGCCTCCAGCCACACATCATTGTGAGCCAGCCCGTGTTAGGTCCCTTACAGGCAGCGTTCCTAAGACTTAGGGCAAACGAGCGGGGGAGACCGTATTACCCTAATTTGCAGGTTATGTGATGTGCTCAAGGCTACCAAGGCCTGACTAGAAAGCCTCCATCTTCTGTCTTTTATCACTTTAAGCCTGAAAGGGGAAGGGAAGTTGTCCAACAGACCACTGAGTGTTGCAGACCCAGTGTTTTCCTGGCCAGTCAGCACCTCAACAATCACCAGTCACACCCTGGTTTTACGTATCACAGGGAGAGGCTTTGAGGTTTCCCTAGCTTACCTTGATGGAACAGAAGCCGGGAGGCAGGTCTTTGGAATCCTAACTCATTCAGAATTATGATAGAAAATTTAAGAAGCAACAATATGTGGAACATTTAAAAAGCAAACAACAACACGACAAACTTGGCCAATCTGGCACCCTTTACGACCCTGGTCCCAGACCATGAAAATCCCAACTGGACGGTGGGTCTGAGGCTGATGATCCCGCAGGGCCTCTGGAATGCTCAGAGGAAGAGCCGGTCATGTTCACTGATGGGCATTTATTCATCTAACAAACATTTGCTAAATGTATATTTAGCAATCTCTGTGCCTGGAGTTGCAAAATGAATAAGACGCAATCTCTGCCCTCGCAGGGCTCAGAGTTGTCTTAGTATACCCTCATTATTCTAAAGGCAGTAAACCGTATCGGCCAGGTGTGATGACCCTCAGTTGTTGGGCATATTTGCTGTTCACAGAAGAGTGTAGCTGGGATGAGCCTTTGAAATTGACCTGGTTAGAGCAGATTCCCATTCAAAATAAACCGACCAAGGGCAGTCCAGCGTTGCAGAAGGGGAGCCAAGCAGAGAAGATGTACCCCACAGAGCCTACAATGACCTAATCCTGACCGTGTCCCTCCTCTGCTTGAAGCACTTCCCCAGGCCCCCTGTCATCTCCAGGCCTAGGCCCTGACTCTTCCCTGGCATCTGAGGGTCTGTGTAACCCAGCCCAGCTGCCCAAGCCTTTCTGCATCCCTCCGTCCCATGCCTGTGGCTCCTGTCGCACAGTCAGTGAGGTTCCTGAGACATGCCATGCTGAGTCCTGCCCCTGGCATCCTGGCTCTTCACCTTGCTAACGTCTACTTACCTTTCCAACTCAGCTTTAGGTGGTGTCCCCTCCATTCCTAGGTGCCTTGGAGGGGTTAGGTGCCCCTCCCCTGAGAATCCATAATACAGTCTTCTCAGTCCTGCCCTTAACCGAATTGCCCCTGTCTTGGGCAGGACCTGCCTGCATCTTATTTTTTCTCGGGTCATCACTATACACTAGTTAGAGCTAACGTTAGGGCTTGTTCTTTGCTGGGTACTCACTAAGTGCTCTCCATGATCCATGTCATTTAATCTGCACCCTGAGTTACGTGTTTGTATTATTCTTTCTTTAAAGAGAAGGAAACCGGGGCACCCGGGCGGGCTCAGTAGGTTAAGTGTCTGCCTTCGGCTCAGGTCCCGATCCCAGGATCCTGGGTTGGAGCCTCACGTTGGGCTCCCTGCTCAGCGGGGAGCCTGCTTCTTTCTCTCCCCCTCCACCCCGCTTGTGCTTTCTCTCTCTCAAATGGATAAAATATAAATAAATAAAAATAAATAAATAAATAAATAAATAAATGAGTGAATGAATGAATGAATGCAAGCAAGCAAACCAAGGCCCAGAGTGGTCAGGTGTCTTGCCAAGCTCACAAGAGAGTCAAGATTTAAGCCCACGCAGTCTGACTCCAAGCCCAAGAGCTTAAGCAGTGAATGTCCGTGGAATGGGCAAGTTGACTAGCGAGTGAACTAGACGTGGGGTAAGCAGTCCTGAGAGGCTGCTTGTGGGAGTCGGTTACTGGACCAGAGAGGAGGGCCATGACCTGGTTGTAAGGAGTGAGGGAAGGGCCTCTCTTAGGGCCTCAAGCCAATGTAGATAAACTGTATGAGAGGAACTGACCAGCGAGCTGACCCTAATGTTGAGGACTCCGCACAGGAAAGTTGGGACGATGTCATTGTGTGGTGGGAAATAGTCTGGACTGGCAGCCCAAAGGCTGGCCTGCTCTCAGGACCTGGCTCTGTTGCTGTGTGATCTAAATGGAGTGATTTGACCTCTCTGGGCCTCAGCTCTGTCTGTAAATGGAGCAAGTTGGATTCGAAGCCCTCCAAACCTCCATCCAGCTGTGACATTTTGCATGTCTAAGCGTGGATGAGGGAGCCAGGAGGGCAGTGTGGAGGTCCTCTTTGGGGCTGCAAGTCTGATAGATGAGAGCCGGGCCCTCTTCAGGCTAGCTGCCCGCCACAGCTTCGGGACCACATTCCCCTAAAGCCAGGGAGATCAGTACATTTTCTAATTAGATAGTGTTAACTTATCAATTTTGAATGAGATAAGTTTCGATGTAAGATGTCCTGAATTGCTCCCTGGAGTGCTCATTAGTCACTTCCCCTGCAGCTGCCTTATTGTTTTCCAGATGCCAGCCAAGGGACCTGGCATTTCCCTTCCCCAAGAGTGGGGCGCACGAGGCCCAGCAGTGACACCGGCCTTGGTTAGAGGGGCTGACCGCGCGTGGGCGGGGCCCCCCGCCCCCGTCCTGCCCTTTACCCTCTGGCCTTGACAGAGCGATTCCCTTTCGTGAGGTTCCTCAAATTCAGCTCCCTCCGGGATTGGGCCACGACTCCGGAGGGCCACAGCTGAACTCAACAAGCATTAATTAGGCACCGAGTGTGCCAGGCACCTTGGATCTGTAACCTGAATGTTTTCTAGGCTCGGGGGGGGGGGGAGGGAGGGCCAAATCAGGTCGTATTAATATTAATGTCCAAATTGCCCCAGCTGCAGGCCTCCCAGCCCCTCATCATCTTTCCTAGCACCTTGAAGGTGCTTCGTAGGGTGGAGCTTCATACACGCTTGCAATAAGTTGGTCCATAGTCTATTTCTTCCTACGCTTCCCCCCGCCCCCCCACCCCCGCAGGACTCTGCCTGGGATGCCTCCTACTGCTGCAGGCTCTGCCATGACCTCCAGGTGGCGCTGTGCCCCCATGGTTGAGGCCGGCTGGAGGCCTCAGGAGCAACCAAGACTGTTCTTCCAAAGGTCTATGCAAATATTCTCTCCTCTGAAGGGCGGGAACAGACCTGGGAGGATCTCGAACTGCCGATCCCAGGTCCCGCGGGGCACAGCCTGGAAAGGGGAGAAGCAGGGATTTTTCTCTCTGGTTCCTTCCTTTCTCTGCCCAACTCACCGGGAAGCTAGGTGCAGATGTGAAAGTTTTGAGAAGCCCAGAAAATTCTGGGGGGGA